AAAGAACTTTGCTTGGTTTGGGTTGGATCAGAGCTGGGCCACACTGTACTAACATGATCTTCTTGTGGATTCAGATAAAAGGGTGCTAATTAAGCAAAACAAAAGATGTCCACTACTTATTTTTTCTTGACACAGTGTCTTTCTCCAAACATAAGTGGGAATTATGCCAACTAACAAATTATATATATTTGTTAGTTGGCAAATTTATATTGCCAACTAACAAATCCTGAGTACCTCATATTTTGTGTCTGTCTCCTGACATCACTTTTTTCCATACCATGTCTTCTTATGATATTGCCCAAAGGCTGTGTTCTATAGTTTTTAACCCTTACTCATGCCTTCCTCTTTTTCATTCTGTATGACCAGACTAGCTACTTCTTTACTAAGAACACGCCCATAATCTATCATCTGATTCTTCAGAGAAAAGATTCATCAGTGAGCCAAGGTGATCAAGTTTGTGAGACAAAGCACAGGCTAATGAGAACACTCCGGAGAATGAAGCAGATGCTGCAATAGAAACCTGTCAGGGTAGAGTGACTTCTGTCACAAACAATAGAAATGCTTATAAGTGGTTGAATAGCCGAACACAGGGGCTTGTGTTCGTAATACTAGCTACTTAGGAGGTTGAGATCTGGAGGATTGTGGTATTACGCCAGCCTCAAACAATAGGGCATGGTGGCATATGTTTGTCGTCCCAGCTACTGTGGGAAGCATAAATAGGAGGATAGTGGTCAAGGCCAGTCCCAGGCAAAAAGCAAGACACCCATCCCAAAAATAATCAGAGCAGCTGGGCACGGGTGCCTCATACCTGTAATCCTAGCTGCTCAGGAGGCAGAAATCAGGAGGATCATGGTTTGAAGCCAGCCTGGGCAAATAGTTTGCAACACCCTATCTTGAAAAACTGTTCACAAAAACAGGGCTGGTGGAGTGGTTCAAGGTGAAGACCCTGAGTTCAAGCCCCAGTACACACACACACACACACACACACACACACACACACACACACACACAAATAATCAGAGCAAAAAAGGCTGGAGGCATGGCTCAAGTGGTATAGCACCTGCCTAGCAAGTAATGAGGACCTGAGTGCAAACCCCAGCACCACCAAGAAAAAAAAAGTCATTGAATAGTATGTCTCTTCCTTTAGTCATGCCACACACAAAGCCAAGCAATAATTGAAGTGAGTGATGATTTATTTTGAGAAATCCCTGCCATGTGCAGGGATTATTAGTATTGTTATTACTATTATTTCAATCTACTTGCAGGTTGCAGAATGATGATAACAAAATGACAATAATAATAAATAGTTAAAGTGAGTTGTTTTTGTACTCTCTGCAGTGGTTTTTCTATGCAGAAAAGACTATCCAAAATGTTTACTTTTGGTCTAACAGTAAGGTTTGCAGAGGTCTAGCAAATTAAAGCCATGGCCAAATCAGCCAACTGCCAGTTTGTGTGGCCCATGAGATAATGATCGCTTTTACACTTAGAAATATTGGAACCAATAGGAGAATGATATCCTGTGACATCTGCAAATTATATAAAATTCAAATTTCAATGTAGCTGCCACAGAGACCACATGTATTGCTGAATCTCAAGTATTTATATATGGCCTTTTTTAGGACACTTAGTTTAAAAGGTTAGTGTCTAATTTGTTAAAGAAAATTCAAAATCCTCACTTGTTCTTCTCTCTCACCTTTCTTTTTGCAGTGCTGGGGGCTGAAACAGGGCCCTGACATGGTAAGCTCTACTACTCAGCTACATTCCCAGCCCTCACTGCTCTTAAGCTTTTAAAATATCAGATGGCTAGCAGATGGAAATCACCACCACAATCATCCCCCAAATTCCCCACGGCTCTGTGTAGAAATTTCTCCCTCTACTTTGTGTCATATACATTAAATCATATTTCCTAGGATTTCATATAAATACAGCATAAGGTCAGCACTCTTTGTGTCTGGCTTATTTTACCTGGCATACACACTTTGAGATTTACTAGGGTTCTATAGTTTGTTCTTTTTTATTGTTATGATTTTTAAAATGTTTTAATTACTGGTTAAGTTTTTAAATTATGGAATATTTCAACTAACAGACTAGGGCATCACAATGTGCGGAACTTCATGTACACACTAACCCAGCTTCAACAATTGTGAAGCCAGGGCCGACGACTTGTTTCTGCCATATTTCTACCATTAGCTCTCTCCTATCTTAATGAAGCAGATCTTAGGTGCTATACCATTTGATTGGGAAGTATCTCAGTGTTACTTCTAAAAGATTGAGGACCTTTATATCATGCCTATATACTTTTTTTTTTTTTTTTTGGTGATACTGGGGTTTGAACTTAGGGCCTCACACTTGCTAGGCAGGTGCTCTTACCACTTGAGTCACTTCACCAGCTCTGCCTGTATACTTTTAACAATAATTCCTTGATATTTATCAAATACCATCAATTTCCAAATTTTCAACTGTTTCTTAAATCTCATATTATGAGATCATTATATATTTATATATTATGTATAGTATTATAGAATATTATATATAGTATATAGAATATTATATAGTAAATATATACTTGTTTTGACTCAGAGAAGACAAACAATATCAGTGTAATATTATTGGTTGATAGCTCTCTCTTTGAATGTGTAAGTTCTTTGTCTTAGTTCATTTGTGCTGGTATAACAAAATGCCAGAGACTGGGTATTTTACAAATGAATATAAATCTATTTCTGACAGTTCTGGAGTCTGGGAAGTCCATAGTCAATGCACTGGCAGGCTTCTTTCTTGTTAGGGATGCTCTTTCTGCTTTGAAGACTGTGCCTTACAGCTGTGCCCTCACAGGGCAGAAACCCAAGGTCAAGGTGGTAAGAATGCTACTTCTCTCCACCCCTTTTACAAGGTTGCTAATCCCACACCTTGAATTAATCACCTTCTAAACGTCCCACTTGTTATATTTCAACCAGAATTTTGAAGGGGACTGAACTATTCAAGGTGTAGCATCTTCCTTTAGTTTTTCTACTTTATTTTTTGCATGTACTTTATTTGTTGACAGAACCATGTACTTTATACTGTTTAACATATCTCTGTACTCTTCATTCCTTGAAAACTGGCTGTTTGGGTCTAAAAGAATAAATGTTTTAATGGAAAATAATGTTTTAAAATTTTAAGTTCAGCTTATAAATTTTGTTTTATTTATAAGTCTAATATTTTATTTATAGGTCTAATAAATCTTAGCAACAATTTCAAAGGGATCTTGAGTAATGTTGGGCTTCAATTTATAAAGGTAGTTAATTAAACACTGTCTGTTATAATAATGAAGTCTTTGGGGTTTGGTAAACTATAGCCTATGGGCCTACCACCTCTTTGTAAATAAGGTTTTATTGGAATATAGATAGGCTGATTAATTTATATATTTATTGACTGTAACAGTTTTCCTTACACAATGATAGTATTAAATAGTTGTGACAAAGACCCTTTGGCCCCTAAAGCCTAAAATATTTACAATATGGCTCTTTAAGGAAAGGTGTGCTGGCCTTTGCTCAGCACTTAAACATCTCATCTAAATTTATAAATTTAATAATACTTATTTACTTTTCAAGCACTTCAGTTATCTGGCAATATATCTTTTTCAAGTGTTAATTCTTAGTAGAGTTAATCAATTACACTTACAAATACAGTAAAATTCAAATTTCTTAAATGTCCTCAAACCTCCTAAACTTCATTAAGATTTCAATTTAAAGCCAGTAACTTGAGATAGGTGTGGTGGTATATGCCTGTAATCCCAGCACTAGGGAGGGTGAGGCAGGAGGATCCAGACTTTGAGGTCAGTGTAGGCTACATAGCAAGACCCTGTCTCAAAAAACAGAAGCCCCTCCCCCCCAGCAATCTATATCAGTTAGTTAATTACACACTTTAAATTGCTCTTATGAGGGGTTTCCTATGCCAAATTCTCTCACACATGCCATGATTTCTTCTTATTCCAGAAGCATTTTTTTTTTTTTTTTTTGGAGACAGGGTCTTGGTTCTTGGTTTGTAGTCCATTGATAGTGCATCTAACAGAATTAGCAAGAATTAGTTAATGTCATCTAATACTCTACCTTCTTATTTCTCCATCTGTCTTAAAACTGTCTTTTTAGAATTGGAGTTTGTAACTCAATGGTAGAGTGCTTGCCTAACATACAAGAGGCCCTGGGTTTGACTTCCAGCACCATGAAAATAAAACAAAACAAAAAACCTGTAAAAGTTATTATTTTACAATTTGTCTAATCAGAATGGTGAAGATGGAGCATTTGGCTGATACATCTCTAAAATCTTTTACAGACCCAATCATTTGTTGAAAAACCCCAATGTTACTCTTCTATCATTTCCTACATTCTGGATTTGGCTGATTGCTTCTAGTTGGTAAGAAGTCTTTACCCCCTCTGTCTGGTAGCAGGCATGATTAGATAATCTTTTTTTTTTTTTTTTTTTGGTCAAGAATATTTCATAGACAGGTAAATGTGTTTTCTATCAGAGCTTACCTCTAGAACACTGATTTCTTCCGTATTCCCTAGGATATTTAACATGGCAACCTGATGGAAGTTTGTATTTTTCACAGAATTTGCCATCGAGCTTGCTGTCACAAGTCACATTAGCAGTTAACTTTATAAAACGTACAACATGTATATTCATTCAATCCCAATATTCTGCAGATGAAGAAACTAAAATTTACTATGTCAGATTGCCACTTTGAGTGACAGTGCGAGTTTAGGGATGGAAATGGAATTTCAATCTCCTAATCCCTTTTTGTTTAGAACTCTGCTTTAGGTTTCCGCTTTCCCGGCTTTCACGGAAGCCTAAGAACACCACCTAGCCGGAGGGGGTTCTTTCCTGCCCAGCCCCATCACGACCCGCCCCTCTTGGCCCCGCCCCTCTTGGCCCCGCCCCGCCCCGCCCCGCCCGGGTGTCCGGAAAACCACACTTCCCAGAGGGCACCGCGACGGCGGAGCCTCTAACTGGCGCTCGGTGAGAGGCGCCATTTCCGTGAAGGGGAAAGGCGGTGCGGCCTGTAATCATGGCGCTGTTCCCGGCCTTTGCGGGCGTTAGCGAGGCCGCCGCTAGTGGGGGCTCCAGGAAAGGTAAGCACACAAAAGGGTCGAAGAAGGGACTGAGACATTAATGGCAGTTTCTCGAGTCCGGGTCTTGCCGTGGGTTTGTTTATCCTTTTGTTTCCCAGAGTTCTCCGCGGCGTTGCAAAGCCTTCTGGGAGGCCTCCGAGCCTGGTCTGGGGTGTGGGGCCCAAAGGCGCCCTGTGGGCTTAGGGTTGCAGAGTTGTGGAAGAGGAGGGACAGGCGGGGAAGAGGCCTTGGAGCTGGTACGAAGGAGTTAGCACATCGTCGGGCCCCATGCGTCCTCCGAGCCTCACTTCACCTTTAAGACGCAAAGGAAAATCCCGATGCAAATGCTGTGTGTTTTAATTATATATTTCTTTCCTAGTTTAGTTATTTCCCGAACGCTTTTTGGGCTTCCATCTTTTGGCAGCCCTAGAGCTCAGGATTAAGATCCAAAGTCTAATCACTTTATTTACGGATGACCACAGCACATAGTGAAAAGAGCTATTTTTTTCCCCCTTGAGGGCTTATGTTTGCGAGGTTATGTATGGCATTCCATGTTTTATTTAAACCTCAAACGTTTCACATGGGCTGCGTTCTTAAAAATTGAGGCAAATAGTTCATTTAAAAACTAATGAATCCTAAGTCATGCACCTTTTGTGGCAGGACCCAGTTGCTGCTGACATCTGTCAAAAGACGAAATTACAATATTTTTCGTTTTAAAGACCTTAATTGGTTTTTGTTCAGAGTTCTAGAATTTGGTGGCTCTCAGAACGAGAACAGGGTCCGAGAACCCGTAGACTGCAACGACATTTATGGATAGTAGAAGTTTTGGCTTGAGTCAGCTGCTGTGACTGACGAAGACTCAACGTTTGTTACAAGAGTGTACTCTTACTCCTAAATTAGTCTTTCGGTCTACTAAGCCAGGGTTGCACTTTGCACGTAAGGATCAAGAATTTTTCTGAGGCGTTCTCAGCTTAAACCTAACATACAGCCTTTCCTAGCTCCTACACGTCTCTTTGTAACACTTCCCATAATTGTGATTTCTTATGTGGTTAGTGTACCGTGGCCTGCTCCTTCCTCCCTCCCTCCGTTCCTTCCTTGTAACCTTCACAAAGTCTGGGACAGTGGTTGTTTATTCATTGTAGCATACCTAGTCCCTTGCACAGGTCCAAAATACAGTTATGTATTCAATAAGTATCTGCTGATGTGCAGACCAATAGTAAGTACTTAATAATATGTTGCTTAAATGTATGAATGAGCCCCAAAAATAACAGTACAAGCTAGGATAGTACAGATGTCACAGGTGAATTAACCTCTAATGGGAGATTCAAAGAAGGCTTTATGGAGGAGCTAACTTTTGGGTCGAGTCTTCAGGAGGGTAGGAGTTAGATGGAGGGCATTCTAGAGCCTTCAAAGGGCCTGTGGAAGAAAAAAAGAGAGAACTGCAGAGAACTGGAAATAATCCAGTCTGTCTGAAAATATGATTGGGGCTGGTGGTAATGCCTTTAATAGCAGTTCAAGCATTTATTTTATTTTGGGAAGGAGAAATTGAAGGTTTGCAGGGGAGTGTTACTCTTTATCTTAACTAGTATTTATTGTACATTCTCTGGGTGTCTAGCATCAGGATAATGTTTGTAGAAGGGTTTTTTTTTTTTTTTATGGCAGTCCTGGGGTTTGAATTCAGGACCTGGTGCTTGCTAGGAAGCAATCTCCCAATTTGAGTTATGCCTCTAGTCCCTTAGAAGTGCTTTTTATAAGTTATTTTAAATTTAAATACAACATTATCACACATAATGAAATTAACTATAATTTTTCAATATCATTTAACTAGAGTCCCTGTTTTGTGACCCTTTCCCAAGGTGTCACAAAAATGGCCTTTTACAGTTGGTTTGCTTAAGTCGGGACCCAAAAGAAGTTAGGATCCACATTGCATATTGTGGATATATCTCTTAGGTCTTTTCTCATATTAAACAGTTTCTTCCTGTCTTCTATTTTTCTCAAGTAATTTATTTGTTGAGGAAACTGGGTCATTTGCCCTGAAGACATTTCCTTCCAAGTCTTCACTATGTCATTTAACATGCTTCAATGTCCCAATCTGTCTTGTAAACTGTTAAGTAGATCTAGAGAAGAGCTTGCATTCAGGTATAAGTTTTTATTGAAAATACCTTGTTGGGAGTATGTGCACTTTTTATTAAATCATGTCAGGAAGATGGACTATCCAGTTTCCTTCATGCTGCTAAGATCAATCAGTGCATTCATATAATTTGCAGCCTCATTCATCCATTAGGAAGCTGCCCATCAGTCAGCCTTTTATCCAATGATTTTTCTGTTTCATTTTTGTTTATATTTTGAGACAAAGTCTTGCTATTAGCCCAGGCTGTCCTCAAGTTTACAATCCTCCTGCCTTAGCCTCCTGAGTGCTGGGATTAAAAGCAAGTGCCACTATGCCTGGCTCTCATCTAATGAGTTTTTGTAGCTGTTTATGATGAGTTTTTAAATCTGTTATTTTATTGAAATTACAAAATGGGTATTTTTCTATTTTTATCACTCTTCCTGTATTTATCAGCACCAGTTATTCTATTAAGAACTGTTGGGATGCTCTGAAATATAGTTCAGACAACACAAACATTATGTTTTATAGGTTGGGCCTGTGTTTGTTTTTTTCTATATATCATGTGTTTTTTCTATATATATGTTACCTATCAGTGATTCATTCAGTCTGATATAACTTTGTGCTCGGAGAATTTTTTCTTGTTACTAATATTAACATTAGCTCATCTATTGGGGAATAGATTAACTCAGTTTGTATTACAGGAAATGACAGGATGAATGCTTGATTCATTCCCTTTGTCAGTTTTCAGAATAATGAGTTGGGATCCTAGCATTTCTAGAGGGGGGCACCAAGTTCTTTTGTTTTTTGTTTCATTATGAACTCATGAGTTTTTAACATTTTTATTTCAATCCATTATAGATAGTGTTTGATTTTCTGATATTCAAATTTATTGTCCCATCCTTGGCTAATGTGAGCCTAATCAAGTTGATGACTGTCTGCTTTCAGCTTGACCTAGTCATCTTCAATAGCTTCTTTGCTTTCTGTCCTAAGACATGTCCAGGGCTTATCACTTATGACAGTACTTATGTGCTTTGCCTAGACTTGGCCATTTCTCCAAGGAACTTAGATTTCTCTTAGTGGAAAAATTATGTCAATCTATTAAAACCACAAACTAGGGGTTAAGAGTGTCATGGTTATCATTACTGCTAGACCTTCTGAGTGAACAAAACTAGGAAGAGAAAGATTCACATGAATTTGTATTGATATTTCCAGTTCAAATGTAAGATTATGAGGTTTTTACTTAAGTTCTTTGATTTAATTTTTGCGTTTCTTTTCTCTGTGCAGAAACTTTTTGTACCTACTGTCATAACACAATTAGATATATGGCCAAAATAAAAGTATTACTATGACCAATACTAATAATTTCATATTTTTATGCTTATATTTGCTTTTAGGATATATTTGGCAATGAATATGTCATCAAATTATTATTTTAAAATTACTTGAAGGTCTGGGGGTGTGGCTCAAGTGGTAGAATACTTGCCTAGGATGCATGAGGGTGTGGGTTCAATCCCCATTACCAAAACAAGTACTGGAGATGTGGCTCAAGTGGTAGAGCACCTGCCTAGCAAGCATGAAGCCCTGGGTTCAAACCCTAATATTGCCAATAGAAAAAAAATAGGGTTCTCCCAGTACCAAAATGAAACAAAAATTCTTGAAATAATCCTCTGTGTGGTTTTGACACCATTTTTGATATATAGTTAGGTATAGTTTATTCAGTTAAGGATTTATTTTCAATATTTAAGAATTGTTTTCCTTTTTGATTTTATCTTGTTTTATAATGATGTAAAACATGGTTCTAAAGTTGAAAATATAAACCAGCTATGTTTGTAGAAAAAAAGCTTCCACCTGTGTTCCTCCAAGCTGCTTTTTTCCTTCCCCTACAGATTAACATTTTCATTAGCCAGTGGTGTCTTTACACTTTTTCCCTTTAATATAAACAAACATATTTCCCTTCCTTTATTAAATGCATACTATTGTGGATTTTGTCTTAGATCTAGACGATCACTCATGTAGCAGCTATAGAGATCTTACTGGTATACAGAACTCCTTTGTGTGCATATCACATACTTTATTCACCCAGTCCCTATTAAGGAATTTGGATTGTTTCCAGTCTTTTGCTATTATAAATAGAAGCACTATACTTTTTGCCTTGTACTATAAAAAATGTAAGATGCTATTAAGAGTAATGTGTAGAGTTCCAATTAAACAAACAAACAAACATTGAACTAATAGACAGGAAAGACAGGCAGTACTGCAACGAGTGAGGGGGCTCTGTTTGCCACTGTTCAGGTACCATTAAGAGTTAGACCAGCATGTAAGAAATCATTACATTTAGCAGGCTATGGTAGGTGCAACTGTATTCAGCACTGTTTTTTCTTTCAACAAACAGGTATAAAGAGTAGCCATTGTGCCAGGAGCATCAATGAACCCCAGATTTTTTTATCCCTCCAAATCTTGAGCTTTTTTTTCCCCTACCCTCAGATTGTTTCTTGATTGTGTACCCTAAAACATCACTGTGAGCTGAGTATGAAAGATGAGAGATAGCTTATCAGTCCACTTAGTTTCTATAATAACATACAAAAGCAGGTGTATAACTCATATTTGAGAAAGAAACTACATTTGTTATCTTTTTTCCCAAACCTAGTCTTGTGTCCACAGATCAGAAAATGGTACCACCATTTACCCAAACCAAAACTCACGACTTCCTCCTTCCCCTCATTTAGTTCTTCATCTAGGCCTTATAAGCAACTCTATAATTCATTTATTTATTTTATTCTCACTGTCTAATTTTTGCCCTAGTCATCCCCTGGATTACTACAGCATTCTTCTAAAATTGTCTCCCCCTCTTTAGTTCATCCTTTACTGCCTGAGCAATATTCCGTAATGTAGCAAGAATTTTAAAATGTGT